CCAAAGCCTTAGCCATTTAACGAGCATAATGCTGACGTTGTCTTTGATGAGCCCTCTTAGTCAGTGCCGATGGACTTTGATTCAATGACTCCTTAACTGTAGAAGATCCATTGTGAACAGAAGTTCTGGCCTTGTTGATTACTGAAGAAGCGTTGTGAGAGGAAGCCTCAACAACAATTAGGCGAGAGTCTTCACCCGTAGCCTTCATTAGTGTTGAAGACTGGAAAACCTTCTTCGAAGATGAAATCTTCCTGCATTTACGAGGCAAAGAAGATCTTAAAGTTGAGGATGACAGATACTCCTCAAACTTTGCTTGGTCAAACTTGTATTCGACTGTGGATTCAACTGGTATCTTGATCGGCTACGACACGACGGTCTCTACAGTGAGACCATTGGCTCCCACTGTGGTCGCCAGCATATTTTCGTCGGAAACAAATTTCATTGTAGAATTCATTATAATTATTTATCGATTATAATGAATACAAAAGAGTGAGCCTTGTGCTTTGTAAAAACTACTCTTTACAACAAAATCAACTTAAGAGTGTTCCCTAGAAACACACACATGATCGTGTTGCATCGCTGCTTGTGTAGGATCTTTACCTGTGCCGAGGGTACGTTAGCTCATGGACGACCAAATCACAGATCTAGTTTGAACCGTGAAGAAGGCTTAGGGTCGATGTTTCGTTTTAGAAAAAAAGATAGAAGTGAATATCTTAGCAAAGTAAGATAAAACACTCTTCTCAAGATCAAGTCAAAGGTTAGATCTAGAGGAAATGTCGAAGGCTTCTCGGATGTGCTTGAAATTGATGAAGACTCTCTTTCGTGCTCATAATTCACCAAAGTGCTTAAGTTTCTTCTCTATCTGCCTTGGTATCCTCTCCTCCTCATCAGTAATGACCCTAGGAAGGTATTTATAACCTCTAAGAACCATAACTAAAGTCTGGAGTTGAAAAGAAGTTGTGTCGACGAACTTCTATTTTCGAGACACTCACAGCTGTCTCGGAAATAGAGCTCGTTTCCAGTCGTTTTGTAACTGCTTCAACCACATTTTAATGTTATTTTTAGTAGTTATTGGCTTTATTTTTGCTTGTAACGGCTCCCCCACATTTATGGATGATCCCCATCAGTTATGAAGCCACGTGGACCGCACAAAACTCAAGAAAACCATTGCCAAGTCCACTCTAATTTTCGAGATAGTTGCAAGTGTCTCGGAAACTATGTTATGTCTTTATAGGTTCCGAGATAGCCGCAAGTATTTCAAAAACTATGATTTACCTTCATAGTTCCCGAGATAGCCGCAACTGTCTCGGAAACTATAAGTCTTCTCATAATTTTTGAGACACGTTTTGTGCCTCGAAACTTATGTGATGCACTTATTAGGCATCTCTTGGTTGACCTTTGGCTTTGGATGATCCTTTATAACTTAGATAATGACGTTTATCACCTTCTCTTCATCTTGAGCTATGCGTGATACCTTATAGGCAATTTTTAACGCCTACAGTACAAAGTCAATATGCTAGTGGATCACATGTGTATGTGCACTTGCAATGTATCACAACTACAATTGATTTCTTATTCACATGTTGTCGTAGCTTGCTCTGATCTATAGGATGGTGTGAGGATTTCACATTATAAATTCGTCACAAATTGATATTCAACTTACAACTATCAACAAACGTACAAAGAGTGTTTTCGTCCACCATATGATAGTTGACATTGGTCACAAGATGGGCCACGGATATTACCTCCTTTGTATAAAAGATCAGCTGGGCGCCCTTGTTCGGTATGAATTAAAAATTCTATGGATGACGGTCGAGAAGGAATTAGAAGGAAAAATACGTGTAGTAGATGCGATCAACCGGGATACAACAAAAGCAGTTGTCTAGCTAGGATTAGGCATTGATTTTTAATGTTAATGTTTGTTCACATGTGACATTCGTATTTATAATATGTAGCGTTTTGTTCTATGTTTGAGATATAATTTTATTGTTTTATTTCTAATTAATCCTGGTTCACATTGCACATTCGTTTATTGTACATGTTAATCTTAGCTATATCTATTATGGATCCGGGACTGAGACATGACGATGTTTTGTACCTCCAGGCGAGTCATTGTTCAGATCTTATTGGCTCGGGACAGGTAAAACGTTTTTTTGTATATATAAAAATATTCCTTATTTTTGGCATTAAATTTAATTTTTCTCAATATACTTAATCAAGTTTGTTTAATGTGTAGCCCGTACCAGACATTACCATGGTCGATCATTCACAGAGTCATTTGGCTTGGGTCATTGAGGATGAGAGAGTACTAGAGTTGATAGCTCAAGCTGGGTTCCGGGAGTGTTCGGCAGTGCGATATATTAGGCTTGATTGGCCGCTTATCAGTGCACTTATTGAGAGGTGGAGACCAGAGTCCAACACCTTTCACGTGCATATAGGGGAGTGTACTATCACATTACAGGGCATAGCCGTCATACTTAGGCTCCGCATCGATGGCCCAGCAGTTACGGGCACCGATGACCATAATTGGGCTGAAGTATGTGCTAGGCTTCTTGGTCAGGTTCCCGACTTAAGGAGTGGTGTGATGAAGCTATCGTGGCTTCGTACGACATCTCAAGGAGATGTACCAGCTGATGCTTCCATTGAGACGCTTCAGTCTTATGCTCGTGTGTATATATTGCACATGATAAGGTGCATGCTATTTCTTGATGCGAGTAAGACTCTTGTACATGCACGATGGCTACCACTGCTAGAGGATTTTGGTGTATGCGGCGCACTATCATGGGGCAGTACGGTGTTGGCATACTTATATAGAGAATTGGGTAAGGTATCCTTGATGTGGAATAAAGACTTCAAGAGATGCTACACATTAATACAACTTTGGCCATGGGAGCGCATTCATATTAGACGACCTACTTTGCTTGTGCACCGTGACCTACAGGACCAGTTTCCTTTGGCATGCAAGTATTGTCCACACACTTTTATTCAAATTGAATTTGTACTCATATATTCTTTATGCCAAATAGGTATAACATGTGGTGCGCTAAGTACAAATCAGCGACGCGACATCGTGAGTTTTATCGTAATGAGCTTGATGGCCTCCAACACGAACAACTAAATATAAATTTCAAGTCGTTATGAATATTATAGTTTTGTTTGTTGATACTGATAAATGTTTTATCTTATTTCAGTTCAAGTGGACACCCTATTCACCGTCGGAGCTCGATATGCATACTCTTGCACCTATCTGTCGAGATAGCCCCGACTTGTAGAGAACCAGAGTTCTATGGATCTGTTGGGAGATTGTGTAGATGCATGTCCCCAACCATGTGCTACAACAACTTCTGCTCTCTCAGCATGTGCCGAATCCTGTCGAGCATATCGATCGTAGGCGACGACCTACATCACATCGTACGGACTGGCCGTACTCCGGGCAGCCTACATAGACAGGTGGATTCACAAGTGAGATTTCATACATGATATGAGAGACACAGTTGTTGACTATATCGCGTATATGCATTGGTATTGGGATGTCACACATAGATGGATCACGCATGACCCACATCCATCAGCTGGACACCTGCCACGGCCACCGACATATAGTTACATCCCTAGTGGGATGATCAAGAGAGATTATGTAAGTTTCTAAGCTAAATTAAAACAATAAATTTTTATTAAGATGTTATTTGCTAAATTGTGTATATATTGTTTAACTCACAGGTTCGTACTTTTGATAACATTGAAGCTGAGATTGATGAGCACATGCTTGAGATTCAGGATCTGGCAGCGTTAGGGGTCTTCAACAGGATCAAGCAGATAATAGCACATGTCTTTCATAAGACTCATGTCGACGAGTTTGTAGGCCATGAGCACAGGTCTCGATCATTTGGGCAAATGTACACGCGACGATGTAGGCCACGTGACGATGACGATGAAACCAACACTTCGCATGTTGATGGAGCTGGTACTTTTCAGCCTCATACACAATCAGATACTCAGATAATCGAGGCTCATTAGCAGGGATGCAGGGGTGGGGAAGAGCGAGAGGAAGGAGGAAGAGAGGGAGAGGAAGGAGAGGAGGAATTTTGGGTTGTATGTGATCTTATTTTGTTGAAATTTGTAACTTTTATGATTTTTTTAAATACTATACTTTTGTGGATCAATTATTGTTTATACATGTGATCTTCGTGAGTATTGTTTGATTCATGTTTAATTCGTGGCTGAATTTTAAGAATATTGTTGTAATTCAGTGTATATGAGATCGATTATTGTTCACAGGTGTATTTTCGTGATTATTGTTTGATTCAGTATATATTGTTTGATTCATGTAAATCGATTGATTCATGACGAAAATTTCATGTATATTTTGGGTTGTATGTGTAACTTTTGTGATTACGTTGTGTATATAAAAAACATGCACAACCTGCTGTGCGTGTTTTTTAAAACAAGCAACTTCACGGGACTTTAAGTCCCGTGAAGTTACAGTTCTTATTTTCCAGAGCCGCGATTCTCCGAAAAATGAGCCTGAAACTTCATGGGACTTCAACTTCAAGTCCCGTGAAGTTTCAGCACTAAAACAAAACTTCACGGGACTTTATTTTTTGAACTTTAGCAGCGTAACAAAATGACTGCTAAAATTCACGGGACTTGAAGTCCCGTGAAGTTTGAGAACTTGTTTCGCCAAAACCGACATGGTTCCAGTGCTGAAACCAGGTTGGTTTTGATAAATAAACTTGAAAGAGGTCGTTTTTGAGGAATAAGTTTACAAATAGGGCTATTTTTTTTTGAAAATTTGTCCTAAAATTAACCTAACAAATATCTTAATGTTTTATCGAAGTGCAAATATCAATATTCAATACATTCCCTCGTAAGAACTGACCTGTTTGTAAAAGTAAGGTTCACCGACCAAACATGAGTTGGACTCGGCATCCACCAACATCAAAAACCCCAAAAATTAATTAAATTGAAAATCGACATAATGACGGGACTCTGACGAATTTTTAATAGAAAATAAAGTACTGCATGATGTGGTACCTTTGCCCTTTGCGACTGGCACGCAAAGTGAGTCGGTCCCTTCTTCAACCTCCTCGCCCTCCACCCCCATCAAAAACTAGGGTTAGGCTTTCTCAAATCCAACCAAATTCCAAAGCCCTAGACCCTAAATTCCTCTGCTATTCTTTCTATTCAATGGCCATCATCGGCGACGCCCTCCGGCAAGCGTTCATGCCGAAGCGCGAGTACGAGAGCCTCCGAGAGGAGCAGAAGGCTTGGGGCCGCCTCCAGAGGCTCGTTCTCGATCCGTTCTCCCGCGCGCGATCTCTCTTGTATCGCCGTCGTCGTCGCTGTTGTACGGGAGCCTACGCCATTGTTCCCTGGGGATCCGAGCCGCAGGGCCGTTCTGTAGAGATCGGAGGATCCAGGCGCTGAGGTTGGGGAATGTGACCGTGGATGTCGCTGCTGCTGCTGATTCGTATCATGGGGCGTTTTATTTGACTGATGAGGAGGCTGCTGATTATTATTGGATGGTGGTGTTCCTGCCATCGGCTATTGTGTTTTTGGTGTCAAGTGCATATCTATTCTCTGGTGAGCATTTAAGAGTTTGGTAATTGCATTGGAGATTTCATTTTTCGATTTGGACATAATTTACTGAACAGAACGCTTAGCAGTAAAATTGGAATTTTCAGAAATATGGTATCTGTGCGCAAATGAGGCTGCTAACTGTAATGAATGAACTGATGTGATTTTCTTCTGGTTTATTGGCGTACATCATGTTCAGAGGTTGGCGAGATTTATGCCAATCTTGTAATCCCTCCTAAGGTCTAGAATTATAACTAGTATAGGAGGTCCTCTTCCCGGTTGCTTGAGATTAAGTTTTATGATTATAAAAGGTAGACCTACCAAATTGCCAGTTGGCCCTCTTAGGGTCTACTGTAAGGGCCTCTTGAGTTTATGCGTGCCTGGTTCCAGATGTACAGACTGATGCTACGATGAAAAGTAGTTATAAAATGCTAGCTTGCTACTTTCTTGATATATTTGATATTGATTTTCCATGATCTCTGTTAATGGATAGACATAAGGACTGCTAGTAGTTCTAGTACATACTTATCTAAATGAGAGTGTGTGGAGTAAATTGATGCAGTATTTCTGTTGCCATACAATCCCTCTTGAATAGAGGTATCTTCTCTCTAGACGCTATTGAGCAACTAAGACAATCTTGTTCTTTCTTAAAATACTCACTGATTCTAGCTCAAAATTTTTCTCTGGTTCTTACCTTGTGTTCATATGGATTGAATGCATCTAATAAGTAAGCTAGGATGACTTTGTTATTAATTGCATTGGTGCTTTAATTTTTTATTTTGCTTGTGATTTACCTAGAAGAAAGTCGGTTCCTTTTCATGAACTAAACAGTAGGAAGTGGATCTCTCTGACATTTGATGTCTGTATCCAGATGTCTCAAATTGAATTTGTTAATTTGAGTAATATGACTACGTCCTGAAATATAATGAACCTACCAAAGTAGTAAATTTGAGTCAAAAAATTCCATATTGTTTATTTTCTTTTTCAACTACTAAATGAGAGAAATGGAGATGCTTAACTTTCACAATATGACTGCATTGTGATAATAAAGGATATATACACAGGAATTGGAGAAGCAGTAATGAAGCCAATGACGAACACCCCTCTTGTTCGTCTACCTCCTATCATAGAGAGACCTCCATCGCGGAAGATAACATAGACATCTTTTCTCTTCTCAGGTTATCGAGCTTAGAAAATGAACAGAGCAAGAGGGTCTGCCCCCCTTATCCTTCACTAAATTGTCATTGTGTTACTTTTCAGCTACAGTTTTTCTTAAAGTGGCAAAGTTCCCATCCTTCATGATAACTTAAAAAGCAGTTTACGTTGCCCCTCTCTAAATGATGAGGGCATCATCTTTTAAATAAATTTATTTTCAAGGAGATAACTGATTAATATTTTTGTATGCTCCTCCAAGCTAATGGTTTTCACTGCGTTGGTGCTTTGACCATTGGATCTGAACATGATTTACCCAGTAGAGAAAATCAGTTATTTGATTTTGAAGACATTTGATGTTTCATGGTTGTACACAAATAGCATGAATTGGATTTGCTAATTTGAGTAATACAAACATAAAGGAGTAGTATAGATAAGTTGAAAGATGCCATATTGTTCATAACTTCATTTTGTCTTTAACTACTAAATGAGAGAAACTGAGTTGCTCACCTTGCACGATATGACTGCAATCATCAAGGTTATATGGCACAAAACATTGAGAAGAAGAAAAGTGCCTATGACCAACACTCCTCTTGTAATTCCTGTAATTCCTGTTATAGAGTCCTCTATCAAGAGTGATAATAACTTTTCTCTTATCAGATTATCAGGTTAGAACTTAAGAAGATTGAGGTGATTTGGCTTCTTTATTCTTAACTAACTTGCTTTTTTTATTTGTTAGATAATAATTTTCTTAAGGTGAGTTTTTTCCTTGATATCCCAGAAACGGTTTTGGGTTACTCTTTAGATGACGAGGGCATCATCTTTTAGATGGATTATTTTTTAAGCGAACAATCAATAAAATATATTGTTTTACATGCTGTGAAGGATCTCTTGAGCTAAGGGATATTATGCTATTATTAGTTCAAGTGGATGTGACAAAGACAATTGTCCAATTATCCCTCTTTTTGGGATTAATAGTATTAAGGCTTCCGGGTTGGATTCATGGATTAAACTAGATTTTTTGACAATTTGAGCTAGCATTCTTTTGGATTAGATTAGGATTTGAAAAATATAGTGTAACATTAAATTAATAAAACTTATTAAGAAAAGTAATTGTCATTAAGTAATAAATTGTTTATATGACAATTACTAAAATAATAGACATAGATGATTTGTCCAACTTAATTATTTCGATGTGCTCAGTTTCTAACCCAATAATCTGGTCAGGGAAGAAACTATTTATGATTATCCTTCTTGGTAAGTATCTTTGATAGGAACGATCAGAGGCGTGGCCGTTATTTGCTCCTTTGCTTCTTCAAGTGAAACATACTCGATGCGGTGTTAGTTCATGAAATGATGGTGATGAACGATAGGATGATCAATGCGAGTAAAATTTTAACTTCATGTTGTCAAGACGTACCACAAAGTCGTCCACACTTCAATATGTATCATCTAATTGGTGCTTTATATAGATCAGTACTAGTATCCCAGTGCACACGGTATGTGCATGACACAAAATGTGGAAGAGTGTCATAGTCGAATTGTTAAAAGTAATGAATGATTTGGCAGATTTTTTTGGATTTTTTGCCCAAGGTGTTAGGGCATTTCCATATTTTTTCCATGTGCAAAGGTATTTATATTCTTTCTCCAAGTGTGAGGGTATTTCCTTAGTATTCTGAGGTGTGGGGGAGTTTTCGCATTCTAAAAATGCGGCTCACGCAAACCTGAATAAGGGCTTCTCTTAATATATAGTAAGTATAGATCTCTATCCTGGTGATAGTGTCATTAAGTTAAAGAAAAAGGGATGTATGAAATCTTTGTTTTCTCACTTTAATCTCCCTTCTATTAGATTATTATAAAGTAATTCCTTCTTCTCTACAGAACGGTTTGAGGGACTATAGCCATTGAAAGAGAATCATGCATGAAGAAGGAAAGGAAAAAATGAAAGAAATTTAAGAGTTAATTCATAAGGTTTTAAATATCAGCCGATAATCTGACATTATCCCCGAGTTATCGGTTTTGGGAGCTTTTCGACAGGATAAATTGGAATTTAAATCAGTTATTGTTTTTTGGGGTTTATCGGTGATAATGCGACGATAAAGGTGATTATCGGCCAATATTAGCAGCTCTAAAAATCAGAATTATCGGGCCACACTATTAGGTTGTGATTTTGGGTAATGGGTAGTTTTTAACTTAACCTGAAACCCGATCCGACCCATTCTTTGTAATAAAACTTAAAACCCGATTTTGTAGCCCTAATTCTCCGTTCTCTCTCCCCTCATTTGTGCGGCTATGCCCACTGCCCTAATCCTCTGATCTCCGTTCCTCTTTGAACTCCGTCGACCTTGACGCTCACCTCCGTTAACTCCGACGCTCGCTTTCGCACCTCTTCGGATTCCGTTGACCTTAACGCTACCGACTTTGACCATTTGACGCTGCTCTCTCATCAATGTTAACTTCATCGACTTGACGATTTCGACCAACGCTGTGCTCTCTCCACTGACTCCATCATCAACTGATCGACTAGACGACGTTGACTGACGCTGAGCTCTCCATCGACGCTGAGTTCTCTCCATCGATGCCGAGCTGTCTCCATCGACGCCATCATCAACTATGACTTTGACAGTTCGACTTGGACTCGCCATCGATGCCACACTCTCAACACAACTTCTGAAGTTGTAGCAACAAATAATATTTTTTTCCTCTAGTTATTTAGTGAAGGTTGAGAGAATGAAAGAAGAGAGTCTGATTAGATTACAATTTGGGGTATTATATTATATATACATCATACGGTATATCATTCCGATAAATACTACTTAGCCCCAATATATTCTCGATTTTCGCTATCCGATAAGGATTTTGACCGTCCGATAAATCCCCGATAACCGATATGTAAAACCTTGTTAATTCGCCACAATTCCTCCAAGTTTGTTTTTCATGCACCATTACTAAGCCGATACCAGGTCATAGTTGTGTAGAATGGCTTTGAGTTCAAGTTATGCTATTGATCAAATTAGAGATTATAATAGAAATAATATAATACATTGACTGAAAAAATTGATGTCTTAAGCACTATTTGAGTTAACCTTTTTCGTGTGAGAATTCCGATCTTATGCAAATATTATTCGTGTGAGAATTCCGATCTTATGCAAATATTACAGACTTTTGTTGGTAAGTCCAACATTAAAGTAAAATCTAAAATTTCTATCTAATCCCCTCCTGAATTCCAATCTAAACGAGTTCAAAAAACAAACCTAATTAAAAAGTTAAACCTATTTGAGAAAATATTTAAACAAATAAATTCTAACAAATTTAACTCATATTGATCCTGCATAAATTGGAAGTGGTTTATCCTATATGTATGTGAAAGTTCAGTTTTCCAACATCTTACCACAATTTTTGCTGTATCTTACCACAAATTTTGCATCATAGAATCATACAAGTACGAAAAAGTGTAAGCTTTGCCTCGTGTTTATTGTGTGACCAACTGAAAGTTTTGTATTTCCTACATCATATAGTTTTCTACTAGATTGGAGTTATTCCTAGGCTAAAATAGCTTTACTTTGTGTCAGACACACACACACATAGACGAGTGGCTGGCATGAGGCTTTATCAAAATTGAGATGCGAGGACACTATCATATCAGTATATATGTGCATACCTATTTGTGAGCCATGAAAATTGTAGCTGCTGAAGTATTAGTAACTGAGTAATGTATCACATGCTCTGTGCAAAACTGTCGCTGTATCTCTCAGAAATGCGAAGCTGTATCAGATGTCAAGGTTTTAAATATCGGATATCGGAGAAATATCGGATGGCAAAAATTCATATCGGATTGCGGATATCGGGGAAATATCGAGGATATGTGGTAAATATCGGAATGCCATAATGAATGTTTGCATACATAGTATAATGCGTTAAAATGTAATCTCAACGTATGTAATAAAATTTTAGCATACAAAATATGAATAATATATGTTTAGGATCACTAATCAACCTTCTAAAACAAACAAAAGTGCAAAGCAACATTGCAATATTCGATCTGCTTTTTTAGGGCAAAATGTCATTTGATATAATGGGGAAATCTTGACATCTCGCCCAAAAATTCCAAACACGGTATATTATTTTGTAACAAGCTATATAAAAAGATATATTGGTCCACATATCGACTAATATATCGGTCATATCGGGGATTTATCACTCAAAATAACCAAAAAGCGGCAAAGGATATTTAAAGACCATATCGGTTGCGGCAAGCCCTGTAAAAGGATATATCGGGGGATATATCGGGCCATGTCAGGGATATTTAAAACAATGCCAGATGTATTAAGGCCATTTATGTTTATCTGTTTTAGATCAACTTAAATAGTAGGTAGTTCTATTTTATTTTCGACTCACTATTTAATATGCAGTTTTCATTTAGGAAAAGGTCTAGGCAACAATTGATGGATGGATCCCGTGTTTACAGTGAATTGTAATTGTAAGTCAATTAAGGATTTTTATTTTTATTTCCTTCTCTTTCCAGCCTTTTTCTTTTCACTTTTTTTGTCTTAGTTCTATATATAAATGTGTCAGCATGTCATCTCCAAGTTTTTCAGTTCAATGTTGTCAACCCAACCCTGAAATAAAGTATCCACTCACATGGACGCTGGACATGGCCTAGTGAGATTTTCCTTCCATCACTGGAAGGTTGGTTCCTGGTGAAGAGGGAAGAATGCACCATCTATGGGATTGCTTTTTTGCTTCCTTTTGAGTTCTATATAAGTTTCAGAAGAGAGTCTGGTGGCATTTGAATCCAACACCAAAGTGTGCTTGCGTGTCAAATGGTGACTTTCAGTAGTTAATAGGGTAAAAATATGATCATTGTGCAATCAGTTTTCTTCCATTCTTTCAGATTCATACTTTCATTTATGCTAACCAAGAACCAAGTGCAGTTTGAGCTGTCAAATACTGTCACCTGGTCTAGGCAATTGTTGTCCGGAAGTTCTGGTTATACAATTGTTTAATATTTTCTTTACAGTAATCCTTGAAATATTTGGTTTTATGAAACCATTCTCCTTTTGTTATGATGTTTAATGATTTATTGAAATCTTATTTTCATTCTGATTGGGTTAATAGTTTTTTATAGCTAAAATTTGCCTTTTTATATATGGCTTAACTGTTGTCACAGGAATGATTGTTGCATACTCTGCTCCAATGAGACACCCGAGTCTCAAGGTTGTTGAGAACAATTTCTGTGCATCAAAAAGAGGTACATGCTGTTCCATTCGGACTCTTTTTGTTATTTTTTTGTTGCTAAAAGTAATTGTAACTTGTAAAATTCTTGCCAATAAATATTTCCTTAGGTCATTAGTATTTTTACCTTTGCTCTTATACAGAGAGTATGGCAAAATGCTGAGTTTGATGATGTACAAAACCTGCATAGATTCATAGGTTTCACGTGATGTATCTGTAGGAGAAAGTTGAGTTGACTAATTGTTACGGTTAAATAAGCTTAGTTATACTAGTGGTTGCTTTGAACTGGACTTAGTAGTTAATACAACATACTTGTTGGTTCATTTCTACAACACGATACCTGCCAGGGTTGGTGTGATAGTTTTATGTAGAAGCTTGTCGGAAGTAGAGCCTATGGTTATTGCTTAGTTGATGGGTTCCGGTATGAAGATATTGAATTACTGCTACCATTTGGGATTTTGATAATTCAGATTCAATTAGAAATATCTGTAGGACCTGTTTAAAATGAGTTCTTAGTTTTTAAATTCACTTAAGCATATATTCCTTGGAAGCAAGATCCTTTTCCTATAAAAGAGCAACTAGAACTTTCAAGTTTGCTAGTTTTTGTAATGTTTTTTTGAAGTTTCTTTTGGTCCTTTGTTTTACTACTTACTTCTGAACAATATCATCATTTCTTTTCTAAGCTTAAATCATTTTCCCTTGCGTATCTTTTGGTACTAAAGCTTCAACTTTGATCAAATAACTTGAGAACTCCTCCTAGTTTCTCATTCTTTCCCCTCTACCTTCTGCACCTTTACCTTCGCTAATATCAGCATTTCACAATTCCAGAATATTGATAATTTCTACTATGACCTTTTCCAGTTTCCTAACCACTATCTTGTCTCTTTCTTCTCTACCTTTATCTTTCTGCATCTGAATTGGCTCTGATACCATGTTATGATGAAAAAGTGACTGATACCATGTTATGATGAAAAAGTGACTTATTGTACACAATGGGGATTTATTTACAGCGGAGCAAATATGATTCAATTACATATTTTTTAAGGCAAAATTACTAGATTGGTATATTTTGTTCATCCTATGTACCAAGTTGGTAGAAAATACGTACCAAGTAGGTATATTTTCTTACAGTGGCAACGATAAGATATATTTTGTAGGCCATAGTGACAAGTAACCCGATTTTTTAGCCGGAGCAAAATTCCTACATGATCATGTGACTCGTCACATGCATCCTACGTAGCTTAAATTGGCTTACATGGCTAAGGGTTAGCAAGATCTAAGTAACGGTTATTATAAAAAAAATATTAACCCAAGTTATCATTCCCATTGAGCCCTTGTTTACTTCCTGTGCTCATGCTTCTTGAAACTAACCTTATGCTGTTAGAGCTTGATGTTGAAGAATCCATCTCCAATATTAGTTGCTCCAATCCAATTTAACCCTAGGAGGAAGAAGATCATCCCATTGAGCCCTTGTTTACTTCCTGCGCTCATGCTTGAAACTAACCTTATGTTGCTATAGCTTGATGTTGAAGAATCCATCTCCAATATTAGTTGCTCCAATCCAATTTAACCCTAGGAGGAAGAAGATCACCCCTAATTTGGGGAAAGAACCCTTCGGCTTATATGAATGAGCCCAGTTACTTGCCTCGTTGGAAGCCACATAGGACATACATGATGTGTCACACGAATGTGTCACATGACATGATCTTATCGGAATTTTTCTCCTGCCAAAAAATAGGGTTACCTGTCTCCATGGCCCACAAAATATACCTTATTGTCGCTGGAGTTAGAAAATATACCAACTTTATATATAGGGTCAACAAAATATACTGATATGATTATTTTGCCTTTTTTATGTTTGACTAAAAGAACTTTTTTTTAATATATAACAACTCTAATAGGTATAAAATGCATACTACCTATATAATCATTATGGGTTCACACCTCTTTTGTGCATGAATCTTGTTTGATTATGAATAAGGCTGATTTGAGTCTATAGATATAAGTGTCACTTATGATCATGCTCCACCATATGGAGATATGTTCCTAACGTGAAACAGTCCTTAAATTGCCTCAGAGCTAATACAAAGTATTGTGTTGAATAGAGGATGTATATAATAGAGTCTATAGACATCTGGATGGGCTCAGACCTCTATAGTTGTGCAAACCCTTTTTATTATAGAGTAGGTTGATTGAGTGTATAGGTTAACAGGCCAATATTGACTAGTCAGTTTTATGCTTCTAGAGTTCTCATGTTGGCAATGATATCTCCATATAGTTTAGCATGCTCATGGATAACAACGGTATAGCCAATGAAAACTATTATTCTGAATACATGATGCATGCACATGCATAAACAAGTAGCCATGTCATTTCCCTGTGTGGTATATTTTGATGGTGTGCCACAATACCTTGTTGTGTTATATCTGCCGTGTGTGTCTGTGAGTGTGCTTCGTGAAAACTTAGTTACGTCATTGAAATCAGTTTAAAGTTGATTTTTTATTTGAATATTATCCACCCAAGTGAGCTGAGCTGTCTATACCTCTATTATCAGGATTTTAACTGAGAAACCACAATAAAAGTCAAAATTTTGTTAATGTATCCCCTTGTACTATAATTTGAATTCGCAAGTTCTGTTGAGAGTAGATAAGTGGGGATGACTGTTCTAGCTATATTAAATGTGTGAAGAATGTGAGCTACTTATCTGGATTTATTTGAATTATTTAGTTAGTTAGGATTAGATAAGGATATCTTTTGTTTCTATCAAATGGTATTTAGGGGGTGCTATTTGTTTGAGATTGTTAGTTTGGACATTTTAAGGTTTTTAGTTTATGTGTAAGCAGTTTGGAACTAAGATTCAGATTTGAGTTTGAGCCTTTGAGATGTTATTTGTTATCTAGGATTGGGACTTGGACTAGGATTACAAAGTTCAAATCTCTATATATATATATTATATATATATATATATTATATATATATATATATATCTATATTATATATTATATATATATAGCCAATATGCGTATGCTGAGTACCAAGCCACAAAAAGTTCTTGCTGTAGTGATGTGTCACACTCCCTCCACTCATTCAAATATTGGACAACATTCACATGGGTTTAGTTGAAGGGATGAGGATGTGACACATCACTACAGCACAAAATTTGTGCTTCGGCTTACCAAGCGATACCATTTTTCTCATTATACTAATATATATATATATCATATATATAGTATATATATTATATTATATATATTATATATATATATATATTATATATATAATATAAGAAGCGGATACTCCCACAAGTTTCCAAACGCATGCTGCTGCTTTGTGAGTTTCTCCTTTCTCCTGTCCTCTTCAAGTGTTCTCGTCACCCTTCTTTCAAAACAGGAGTCTACCAGAACCACTTAGCTTGCTATGACAACCTGTAAGCTATGTCCAGTCCTTCTCATGTTACTTCCCCAATAGGGTGAAGAAGAGGCGCCTTCTCCTGCTTCACCCTATAACCTCCCCACCACTCCAACTCCTCCCTGGACTGATCACAGGAGTCCTCCTGCTTCTTAGCCTCCCTTCTGCTGGTAAGGTGTTTGTCGGGACCAAGCACAGTTTCTATCATATAGGGATTCATAAATGATGAATGTAATTGTTTTTTCTGTGCGGAGTATTGAGTTTGAGAATTTTAATATACATGCAGGAACTTATCCTTCTTCCAATGCCCATTGGTCTCACATACTATCAACTCACTTTGGCCACTGAAAACATAATCCAAATTGCTCACTCGATCACTTACGCCGGTTCTCATTGGCTCATCCAGTATTGTTGTATCTAAAGTGTGTTTGAAGATTAAGATAGTTTCATGAGTGCAAAGAAATTTGAATTTGGTAGTGTGGGGAGCTGAGTGTTATTGCATGGAGCATCAATGCCTCTTGACTCTGAGCTTTTGTTGTGTTGATAGTGAAGCTCAGTTTTTATCTTGAGGTGCAGTGCTCAATGCTATTTAGTATAACTGACTATATAATATGTAGTGCTGACTTCATGCTATTTTAATGTCATATTAAATTAAGATTTACTGAAATATAATTCAGGAATTAAAAAATCACTAAGTTTGTTAATTATAATGATTTAATGTTGACAAAGCTTTCCAAATCCAAATCCATCCAATAATCCTATTTCAATTCCAAGACTCAACTTTTAGTTTTAGAATCAAACTGAAAAAAAAAATCCTGTCATTGGTCCCGGTCCCTTGGACTATTGTCCTAGTGGTCCTATTCAACAATCCTGAACCAGTAACACTTGTTTAAATCGTATGAATAAGGTTTGTTTTAAGAGTTGTAGCAGGTTGTATGTGTTAAGTAATTAGTTACTTGTGTTGGTTGTGTATATACCTTCTTTTTTATCTTTTTACTATTCCTTTGTTCTGGCAATGACAAAGCATCTCCTCAATCTCCACACATATTGTTCTTCACTAAAAAACCCTCAATCTCTCATTTCTACAACCTTCACACTTTTGGTGCACCATATATGAATTGATAGAAAGGATTCATGTAGCCAGACTGCAACAATTTGGCATGACAGCGCTTTTATTGTTATCGTTGTTCTTGAACAGCGAATGCACCCCAACCGCTTTGGAAATTGGACGTTTCTTATATTGACTTTTGATTGTAGTATTTGGAAGCGCTCGTATCTTAGATTTTTGAGGACGATGATCATGACCATTTATTTGTATTTTGCTCATTATGTTGTTTGCGACACCCAGTTGAAAAGGATCTTGTTTTTCCCCTAGCTGATGCACAGATGGGAAGAAAATTATTTTATCAGCTAACATCGTGTTAGCTATATAATGTTTGTATACCAGAGCTTATATAATGTGTTCTCTATATTTAACTTAGCTATCAGAGGGACGTGGAATGATGCTGTGTTAAGTACTTAATAAAGTCTTGTATTTCCATCTATCTCCAAAATGACATGCATGAGTTTGTACACTTGAAATATTTTCTGCCTTGAATAACATCATGA